TTTTCTTGCAAGGGAGAGAGTGACTCCTGCCTCCCATTGTCATCATCATCTTCTTTTGGGTTAGTGAATCAATTAAACCTTTCATGATAGTGATATCGTTTCCCAAATTTCCTTTAAATCAGGGAAGAAATCACAAAAAAACCTTTGGACTGAGAATAAGCCTGTTCCTACGATGCCATTTTTGTTCACTGCAGTGTGAAAAGTGTGAAAAAACACACTTCTTTTTCTTCATCTTCTTGTTCCCTATTTACTGGTCTCTTTCAAAGAGGAAATTGTGAACATCAAACTTATTCTCAACTGTCCTAGTGAAAGTTTTTATTGGTATCTATTTTTATTTTTGAAGTTTACCAGTAGCTGCTGCATTTCCCACCCTCGGCTTATACTCGAGTCAATAAGTTTTCCCAGTTTTATGTGGTAAAATTAGGTGCCTCGGCTTATATTCGGGTCGACTTATACTTGAGTATATACGGTATTTAGATTTTCATCACTGTTTACTATCGGTGAAGAATTGATATTTATATGAATCTGCTTTCTGTATTAGATCAGATCTTTCTTTATAGATGACTAGCAATGGCAGGTAAAATATAATCTGCTGACAGAATTTGTTTTTCCGTCTCTTATTATATATTAAACAGGTGCTCCATTATTATTTTTCGTTTAAAGCCAGTATGTCTGTGAAGTTTATTTCTTTTTAAGCATAGTATCATTTTGTCCATAACTGGTACAGATGTTTTCATTCTTCCCTTGTCTTCTAAGGCAATCTTCATTTTTAAGGCATATGTATGAAATATTAAACCTGAAGTGAATACAATTTGATAAATAGAAAGGAATCTCAATCCAGCATAAGAATAGCAAGTTTCTTGATCAATAATTCTGATCTGTACATTTAGGTCTAATAATTATTAGATTTAGCTGAGCTTACACAAATGGAAATAATTTTTTTAAAACTAAAGCCAATATTTGATAACTTGTAGATAAGAAGCAGAAAACATTTTTAGAGGAAATCTTTTAGAAGATACAGCTTTGGACACTTTTTTAGCAAGGAGCATTTAGTGTGGAGCATGAGCCAGGAGATCCAGCTAACCAATGGAAGAGTGCAGGGAATGCTATCTAATCAGTATCCCATTGTCTGAGCTATGAGGTAATAAAAATCTTTGCTCTCACATATCTAACGAAAAGGAAATAAATTGCTAGCATCTTCCCATGTTTTCAGTACATTTATTTGTAATGTTTGCAAAAGAAAATCTGAGGTTACTGTAATAGAAGCTGTGCGACAGAAGATGAACTAAAAACATGTCAACAAAAGCACTGAAATTTTTAAAGCTTCTTGTTGCCCTTGCCTCTGAACTGTGACGGTGAAATGACAACATCTCAGCAATTTTGCAAATACTTTCCCCAGTTGCTGTGACAGTATGTCGTTATGGCAGTTGAATTGGAAGAACAGGAAGCAAATTCCAAGCACTGTAATGCAAATAGAAAAGGATGAACTGTGGGAATGGGACATGGAATTTCCATGAGTGGTTGGTAATGGGGAAAGAAGAAAGTTTGGCTTGGTGTTCTTTATCTTTTGTTCTGTACAGATGATTGGGATGCAGCTGTTGCCAGTTTATTACAAGTCACTCCTTTGTTTTCTCACTCTTTGTGGAGTAATACAGTAAGAGTGTATCTCATTAACACTGAAGAGACTCAGTTGGAAGTAGATATTTTCTTAAAGGTGAGAAAAACTGCACTGCACAATATGCTACCAATCGTTATGTCTGTTTTTATTGTCTCACATTCTGGTGACAGAAACCTACATAGGCAATTTTCTCCATATGGATGAGCAACTGGTCTAATTTTATAGAATTCAGTGGAAGAAATAAGGTTCAGTATGAGAGCACTGAGTTTGTTTTAACAAGATTTCAGATTACTTCTTGGCATTTTGTAGTATAAAAAGAATCTGGGTGGAATAACATTAAGGACAAGACTTAGGTCTGAAGTCTTAGAGAGCTATTGTCTGTTGAATAAATTTAGATGCATCACTTTCTTAAATAAAAATGGGTGTTTTTAGATTTATAACACAATAGTAGTCTAACATGATACAGTGAATCATTTCAATGGAAAAACACAGACTTTTTGTATTCTCCCTACATATATTAAATTAGCTGCAAAATAACATTAATTTGGATTTGCTGAATATGAGAATTCCCACTCAATTAGTCAAGGATTTTGGTTATATTTTGTCTCCACCCCATCCTAATTTACTAATGGCAGCCTTCACTGCTGTTAATTTTTTTTCAAGTAACATTTATTTTTCTTCAAATTACTTGTTAATATAAGAATTGTGGATGTATTTTATAGAAAAATATTTCCAAATTTCATTCACATTGAGTGTGTAAGTCATAGGCCACATCTGTAACAGGAGAAATGTTCACTGTCAGGTATTCTGGTCCCAAATGGATCTATACTCCCAAATGTTTTTCTTTATTATCAAACCACTTATCAGAAAATCTTTTCAAATTTCAAGGACTAGTCATAAACTCCTTCCTTCAGCACCATGGTAAGTTTGAACAGTCATTGAATGCTCATAACTCAAGGCCTACCTATATATTATAAAAACAGAGTCATTGCATCAGTGGTGGTATTTTTTTTACTACTGGTTCTGTGGGCGTGGCTTAATTGTGGGTGTAGCTTGGTGGTCATATGACTGTGGGCGGGGCTTGGTCATATGACCAGATGGGTGTGGGTTTGTGGCCATGTGACTGGGTGGGCATGTCTTTGTGGCCATGTGGGTGGGCGTGGCCAAGTGACCATGTGACCAGCAAACCAAATACAAGTGGTCCTCGCTTAATGGCCGGTTGCTTAGCAAGTGTTCTAATTTATGACTGATCTCCCCAGAGCTAATTGACCTGTTTTGGAGTTTTGGAGTTTTGACAGCCATACACACACACACACACACACACTTCTAACCCTGCTATTCTATGATTCTGTAAGGATCTCCTGCTGGAGGAGGGGGTTGGACTAGATGACCTCCAAGATCCCTTGCAGGCCAGCCCTAGATTGCTGTGTGCTTCTATGAGTCTTCAGAAGCCAGGGTTTGTGTCCGTCCTTGCTCTCCTTTTTTTTCCTCTCTCCCTCCCTCCCTCCTTCCATGTATTTATCTACCCATCCATATATCTCATTCATGGTCTCCCTCCCTCCCTCCCTCCCTCTCTTTCTTTCTTTTTCTTTCTTTGTCCCGTCCTTCCATCTCTCCCTTTCTTTGTCTATTCCTTTCGCTTCCTTTCTCTTTTTTCTTTCTCTTTTTTTCTTTTCTTTCTTATCTCTCTCCCTTCCTCTCTCATTCCCTCTTTTTCTCTTTCCCTCTCTTTTTCTCTCTCTTTCTCTCTCTCTTCCCCCCTCTCTGTGTCTCTCTCTATGGGTCTCTCCCCCCGTATCTCTCTCTCTCTCTCTGCCCCTCTCCTTATCTTCCCCTCTCTCTTCCCTACTCTCTCTCTCTCTGTCTCTGTCTCTCTCTCTCTCTGTCAGTGTCTGTCTGTCTGTCTGTCTCTATCTCAAAGCTGCGGCTGGGCCAAGCGCTCTTCGCTACTTTCAAGGGACGGCGGCAAGCAGTGGAGCTTCCACAGGGCACGAACCACCCGAGTGGAAGGTTCCCCCCCCTAACCTGAAGAAGGAGGAAAGCTGCATTGGCTTGCTTTCTGCTGGTTGTCGTGCTGAGCATGGCGAGTGATGGCGTTCGGGATGGCAGAGTGAGGGGGAGAGAGAGAGAGGTTGAGCTTTGCAATATGCTGCGGGGTAGAGCTCTGCAGTGTTTGGGGGGCTGTTGCTTTCCTCATTGGGGGGGTAGGGTCACTGCGCGCAGATGGGGTGGGTAGGTGGGAATGGCAAGCACACATGCGCGTCTGCCTCTGTGCGGCTGGAGCTGGAGGCACCGGTGATGTTAAATGGAAATCAATGAGACACTTCCAGTGCCGCTGGCAATCCTTGTTCAGCCAGTCCCTTCAGGCGACCCTTCTCCTCTACTCGCGACCGACACAGACACAGACACAGACACAGAGAGTGGGGGAGAGAGAGGGGAAGATAGGGGCCTGGCCGCTTCGCTATCCCCTGCCATCGCCCTTACCTTCTCAGGCCAGGCGAGGGAGGGAAGAGTGAGGGGCAGGACCAGCCGCTTCAGGCAAAGTGAAGAGGTGTCGACCAAGCACAGGTGAGTAGAAACCTGGGAACGGTGGCTCCCGGCTAAGCCGGCCGAGGGGCTGCTGCTGCAGGCATTGGTGACAAGGGGGGCAAGAAACCCTGGGATATCTGCCCACCCACCTGCTTGCTGGCTGGGCTGGGCTGGCCTGGGCTGGAAGAGGTGCGTCCGCCGCCGGGAGAAGGAAGAAAACATGCTCCGGGAGGATGGGCAGGCAGGCGGATGTCCTGGGGCTGCTGCACATGCACACATCCACCCGAGCTACCCCATGGCCACCATGTGGTACGGAAAGCTAGGAGAGCAACCAGGACAAGTGGGTGACCGGGTGACGGGGTGACCCGGTTCGGGGGTGTGGCCAGCCAGGAGTCGCTACCAATTCTGCGACCCACACCAAATCACTGCTACCGGTTCTCCCGAATAGGTGCAAACCGGTTGAATACCACCTCTGCATTGCATGATCTTTATGTAATTTCAACAAATTTCAACAATGAGCATTGGTAATTTCCTGAATCTTCATCTTCATAAGAATACTTTAGAGAGGTGTAGTTTGGTGTAGTGATGAGTCCATGTGCTCTTGTCATGCCTTTGGCACAAAGCCAGTTGGGTAAACTTGGACCAGTCACTTTCTCTCAGCCCAAGAAAGGAGGCAGTGGCAAACAACCTCTGAAAAACCATTTTTACCTAATTTTGAGTAATTTATTTTAGTTTGGGAAGCATTGATTTACAGTATTTATTATTTAAAATTCAAGTCTCATATTGATATGACTATATTTTTTTAATGTTTTTCAGTAATGTTCTAGCTCTTTGTGCTGCCCCCATCACCCACACATCAGGGTTGGTGTAGATAATTTTATTCAGTCTGTTTTCCAACCAATTTCAGGTTTTCAGTTAACCCCCAGCTGCAAGCTGAGCACAGTAACAAGTAGATCAAGGGTAATCAACCTTTTTATACCTACCGCCCACTTTTGTATCTCTGTTAGTAGTAAAATTTTCTCTAACTGCCCACCAGTTCCACAGTAATGGTGATTTATAAAGTAGGGAACAAAACCCCTACCGCCTACCATGAAAGCTGGAACACCCACTAGTGGGCGGTAGGGACCAGGTTGACTACCACTGAAGTAGATAATCAAAAGCAAAAAAATTTACAGCCAAACCTAAAACAGCCTTGGAAATAAAGGTTTTACCTGGGTAGGTTCCAAAAATAAACAGCCCAAATCTTCTCTTGAGGTCTGGGGCCTCCACTGGGGTTTGTCAACAAGTCTGGTGGTCCAGTTTCAGGGCTTGCAAGGAAAAGTCATAGGAATTGTCCAAGCCAGGAGTTCAGGGGGTCATTTTCAGCGAAGCCAAGCCACAAATAAGCTCCAGACCAAGGGTCTTCACACTTGGCAAGTTGAAGTCCACAACTCTTAAAGCTGTTAATTTTGAAGACCGCTGTTCTAGGCAATAGCCAATTAGTCTGACAGATGCTGCTACAAACACAAACACTCTCCGCAACTGAATTAAATCCATAAGCTGCAGAGTTCCAGTAAATAAACAACCATCTGGACACGACCCACACACATTGCTTCCAGCAATGCCTCCCTCTGCCTGCCATGCTAAACATTCTCTCCAGGTGCAGCCCATTAAGAGGGGCGGGGCCTTTTTCCCATTTCACATCCCCATCTCCGCCTCTCTGCCCATGCACTCTAGCATCCACCAAGGGGAGCATCTCCTCCCCCTTTTACTCATTTTTTACCTCATTGGCCTGCGAGCTCTTCCCAGCCCAGGCATGTTCCGTCAGCAGCTCAGGGTCAGCAAAACCAGACATGCCAGGAATGCTCTCATTCTCCCTCGAGGCCTTTGAGGAAGCATGGATGAGCCATCATCCACAGGAGATATCACATTCTTCTGGATTGAACTGCTGCCTTTAATATGAATGCAACTGAGTATAATAATCAAAATTGGTGATCCTTCTCTGGTCCTGATTAACTGATTACATTGGGTGAATAAAAGTCTTTTGATTGCTCAAAAGATATTGGATTTTTCTTCTAAAAAGATCTGCTTGCATCTATTATGGTGTGTCTTTATGTAGTAATGAAAATGTGGCTCTTTATTCTTAGTATTTGGTCTGAAATTTGTTGTTTCTATTGTGTTTTGGTACCAATGTTTATTTCTCTGGTTATAATTGGTATGTTTTATTTTGTAATGCTTTTGAATTGAGGGAGGTTTTAATTTTCTTCTATGAACCAATTTGAAGGATTTGCTATGGAAAAGGCATTATTTGGGGATGTTTTTGATATATACAAATCATTATCAACTGCTGCTACTAAATTACAAGATTTCAATGTAAACAGACTAAAAAATTAGGGATTTTCCTAGATCCAGAGAAATTATTAGATTTAATCACCCAATGATATTACTATTTGGGGAAATAATTTGTGGTCAAAAGTACCAGTATGTATAATTCTTAGCTATAGTTTATATTAACCCCAGATTGTTATATAAATATATGTAATTTATTTAGTTTTGGTTTAGCTTTGGATGTGCAAATCCAGTTTTCTGATTTGTAAACTATGTAAATGTACTTTATAGTTTATAGCTTAGCTTTATATGGGAAGCAGTTTGTGTTTTATTTTTTCTTAAATTTCAGAAATACTCTCCAAAACTTCAGAAATATTGTGAGACAATGGAGTATTTTTTTCAAGTTGTCTATTTTCCAATAGAAAATGAGAGTTGTCTACATGCTGTAAGGAAATGGGAAATTGAGAAAAGTTCTCTAACAATTTTGTTTTTACATTTAAATCTGCCAAGGTGAGTTAATATCCATAATAAAAACATTAAACAGAAAGAATAATTTTGAATGGCTTTTTGGAAGAAAAGTAGAGGAATAATTTAAAGAAAGGAATCCAGGTAAAAGAGAACATCAGTGAATCACATTTCAATATATATATGGAACAGTTTTAAATATACTTAATAAATTATTTACATTTTCTGATAAAAGTTATCATATGTTTTGCAGAATACCAGGAGGTATAGTAATGAAAACATGCAACTTTTTATTTTATAAATTTTAATAATTTCAATATGTTAAAAACAGCCATATGTTTTGTATATTCTAATCAAATAATTTATCTGCTTGATTTTATATGTAGAAAGGACACCAAATGTAGTTTAGAATAAGTGATTTTAAAATAAATTTATCTTAAAAGAGTAATGATTACTGAATGAAAACAAAATGTAATGAATAATACAGAAGAGATGCTTCCCCCCATTCAAGCAAAGTTGTTCATATCAGAAATGAAGATTTAGTTGACTTCAGAACAGATTTGCTTGGAACATGTTCTCTATTTCCTAAAATGAGCATTAAGATTGGACAGGTTCAGTCTTAGCCGTGCACTCAAAACAGCAGGCAAAAAAACCTGTCAAAATAAGTTTCTTCCATAGTAACCATTTTCACACAGGGAATCTGTATTCCATTTCATCTGTATTTGGCAACTGAGCTGATAAATGTTTAGCTTATCTAAAACTGCAAAAACAAAACACCCAAATGCAGCCTCCCCCCCCCCCTTTTTTTTTTGCAATGATGCAGTTCTGCAGCTGCCTGACAGGAACTTTTGTGTCTTCCTCTCCTGGTTCCTGAATTTTAGTTTTCTCAGCACTCTATTAAGCACTCTACTCAGAAGAGCTTGGGCAACCATTTGTTTAAAATGGTATAAGACTTCCTGCTTGAGCAGAGGGTTGGACTATAGAAGATCTGCAAGGTCCCTTCCAACTCTGTTATTCTGTTATTCATACATTCTAAAGAAGAAATGTAGCTTAATGACTTAATCACTTCATTTAGAAATATTTGGCATAGAACCAAAAAACTGCTTGCCATCTTGTTAATTCTGCATTAAAACATGGCCAGAATTGGTCTGGGCTTTTTTGTCCCTTTGCAGATGCAACTATACCTGTATGGGTACTGGGTTCCCTGGTTCTCTGTTTTTTTTGGTATAGAACCAGTTGACTTCAAAATGCCAGATACCAGCTTGAATATAGTTGTGCCTTGTAGATTGGAGCAAGAATTTGGGTTTTGTTTCTGTCTCTTATAAGAGAAGTGAGAGACTTTTGATGTTCCATTACAGACATTCTATTTTTATTCTCCCCCTCACAGTCAATCTTCAGCATCTTGTTAAGGTATTTATCTGTAGGCATTATTTATATTGCATCTCTTCCTCTTTTCTACTCCAGCCACTGCAACAAGAAGAAAACTGGTTGCAGAAGTGTCACATGCTATCTTGTCAAAATCACTGCTAACAAGCGGTTAAATTCAACAGAGAAATTATGGCTTGGCAACCTAATAGCAACTTTGTATTATTATTACAAAGAAGCAAATGTCCAAAATATGTTTTGGAAATGCAGAAGGGGTTTCCTAGAAATTTATTTTCTTTTTTGCATGATTTTTTTTGTTACTTTCCTGTTGATTTGGAGAAATTAGGAATGGTGCAGTGCCATGCGATACTGTCCTGCTCAGAAACTTCTCACCATAGTTTTCTATGAAAACATGTTCTGTGTGGATATGTTCAACCATCGTATTTGGCATAATATAAATCAGGCAGTGAAAGATAGATCTAAGGCACAAGTAGATCTAAGGCACTTAAAAACTTTAAAATAAAGGTGAAGGTTAAGAGTTGTTAACCTAATCCTACGTAGCTTTTTCTCTGGTAATATCACACTACTAACTAGAGCATACAAAACATTTGCTAGACCAATACTCGAATACAGCTCATCAGTCTGGAACCCACAGTACGTATCTGATATTAACACAGTTGAGAAAGTCCAGGAATATTTCACAAGAAGAGTTCTCCACTCCTCTACTCGTTGCAAAATACCTTATGCCACCAGACTTGAAATTCTAGACCTAGAAAACCTAGAACTACACCGCCTTCGGTCCAATCTAAGTATGGTATATAAAATCATACCTGTCAATGAATACTTCAGCTTCAACCATAACAATACAAGAGCACACAATAGATACAAAATCAAGGTAAACCAAACTTGATTGCAGGAAATATGACTTCAGCAACAGAGTGGTCAATGTCTGGAATACTCTACCTAACTGTGGTTTCTTCCCTAAACCCCAAAAAGTTTAACCTTAAACTGTCTACTATTGACTTCACTCCTTTCCTGTAGGGGGCGTGCATAAGCGCACTACTGTCCCTGTCCTATTGTTTCTTTTTATTTTTCTTATATGTATCCATTTCATGTATTCATAATTATGTTTATACTTATACCTATTATCTTGTAAGTGATTGACAAATCAAATAAATAAAAATAAATAAAGGTGAAGGTTCTGTATACAGTCCATGACATCTTCAATAGGATTGGGCAAAGACTTCTAAAATCCTGAAGACCACTGCCTTGATGGGCAATACTGAGCAAACTGTTCTCATTTGTTATATGGCATCATTATACACTTCATAGTTTTATTATAATTGATGATCTGATGCTCTAATTCCTAATAAAGATGTGAGATAATATATATATATTTGTGGGGGGATTCACCTTTATCCACTTTAAGGTAAGAATGGGGGATTCTGTGAAGTTATAAATTGCTGTTGAACTTTAAATGATCCGGATACCCTTTTAGCTTCATTCTTTGTTAAATTAATATTTATGGTAGTTATTATGTAGTTATGAAGAGCAGATAAATTTTTGCTCTTAGTTTTTAAAAATGCATGACATTTGTATTCATAAAGTTTGACCATTTTGAGTTTTTAGAAAAATACAATATTGGAGCTTACACTGATTAATATAGCACAAGAATGCTGATTTCTAATCTAGGCATCTACTGGATGAGTGTGAAGAAGCCTTTTTGAAAAACTCTGAAGGGAAGCCTCGGCTCATTTACCACCGACTAGAAAATGGTCAAGTCAGTTCAGATTCTGTGCAGCAATTAATTGAGCAAGTTCATTTTGTGAATAAAGCAAAGGTAATAAGGCAAAACATTTACAAAAGTGGATTATTTACTGTGATTAGTATCTTTTTGTTTAATATAGTTGTAACATGGTATTAACAGGATTTGCAGAGTACATTTATTTGTTTATTGTATCATAAAAAGTAAAATACAAAACAAAAGCATACATTCAGCACTAACAACAACACAAAAGAAAAAAATGGTGTACAAAAAAAGAGAAAAATGTGATCAAAATACTAAATAAATTTAACATTTAACAGATAGAATCCAATCCGGCTGGGCACAGAAAAGAAAAAGCAGTAAATTCTCTCCTTTTAACACCTATGTACGTATGTATGTATGTATTTTCCAGGCTCTTATAAAGCTGTCTACTCCATAATCTCTAATCAAAGCAGTTAATTTCCCTATCTCTGATAAAATGAGTGTGGTGCACATGCAGCACATTATTTTATTAAAAAATATTACAAGCTATAATTTAATATAAATTTTAATCCAGATTATCTTTTTTTATTCATACTGAATGTAAAATGCTGACTCTAGAAAGCTAAAGTTATAGTTCATAACTGAATATCCATCATTATAGAGTATCAAACTCTTATGTTAGAGGACATTTATTAGGGGAAATATGGTACAATTATCTAATAAGGTATGTACTAATCAAAATGTGTTCAGATTTATTCTTTTAAAAACGTACTTTACATTGATATAGAGCAGCAGTCGCCAACCGATGCGCCGTGGCCCACTGGTGGGCCGTGGTAAAATTTTGGTGGGCCGCAGAGAAATCTCACCCCCAGAGCACCCCCCCCAAAGCAATTAATCCAGGCTGTGCAGAGACACAAGTCTGCGCTGCCCACATGGCCCATAGGAACCCTCCCCGCCCAGTCACTCCTTACCTGGCAAACTTGTCTGCTAAGTTGCTATTTTTCCTTTTTCTGACCATCATCTATTCTGCTGTGCCGGGAGACTTAGATTAGCTAGGAAGCAGGAAATGGTTGGATTTCTTGCTTTCTAGCTAAGCACAGCCGAACCTCCCTTAGGACTGAAGGTTTACTTGCAAGCAAATTCAGTGCAGATTCACGACAAGCAAATTTGAGAGACTGAGCTAGCCGATGGCAGCTAGATAAATCACTGAATGATTCTGTGAGCAACTCAATCTGCCTGCTTTGCCTGATTTTGGATAAAAGTTGCTTTTTTAAATAAAAATTTCAATATTTACATGCATGTTTTGTTGTGAGTTAATTTTGTGAGTATGCTTGCTAGCAAATTTTATGAGTTTGCTTGCAAGCAAATGTTATGTGACAGACTGAGCTAGCCAATGGCAGATAGATAGATTTCTGAATGAATCTGTGATTCTGTGAGCAATCTACCTGCCTGCTTTGCCTGATTTTGGGTAAAAGTTGCTCTTTTTTAATAAAAAAATCAATATTTACATGCATGGTGTGTTGTGAGTTAATTTTGTGAATTTGCTTGCTAGCAAATTTTATGAGTTTCCTTGCAAGCAAATTTTGTGTGACAGACTGAGCTAGCCAATGGCAGATAGATAGATTTCTGAATGAATCTGTGATTCTTTGAGCAACTCAGTCTGCCTACCCACTTTGCCTGATTTTGGGTAAAAGTTGCTCTTTTTTATAAAAAATTCAATATTTATATAAATATTTATAATATTTACATACAAGCCATGCCCAGCCAGTCACATGACCACCAAGCCACACCCACAAATTAGGCCATGCCCACAGAACCAGTTAGTGGTCCCTGGGATCTAAAATTATGAGTTTGGTGGTCCCTGAGGTCCAAAAGGTTGGCGACCCCTGATATAGAGTATAAAAATATAAACTTATTTTCTGTGCATCTCTATAATTTTTTTGATTTTACGTCTAAAAAACATAGGTTTCACTCAGGCTTTTTATATGGAATCTAGGTATTTTGTATTAAGAATTTTGGGAAGCTGGCTTTCATCAAAAATTTGTAAATTTTGTTGAATATAAAACTAGCCTTATAAATCTTTCTGTTATTAAAGCTTGTCAGCTATGAGGTGACCTAATCTTTTAATAATGATTTATTTCTTTTCTCCTAAGATCATCAATCACATGGGAGGATTAGAGGAAGGAGCATATGAAGTATATAGTTATGTGGAAAAGATTATAAAGCAGGTATTTTCCATTGTCTCTTGCCCTGAAGATTATGTGGATCTTGGAAAAGCAGCATATAAATGTTCTAATTCTTTTTTAATTGTAGCACACACACTCAGATTTCTTGATTCTGTTTTCATAAGTCAGAACATTTAATTATGCCTTTGAACTTTACATCTAAAATACTTTAAATATTCATATAAAGCATGAATAGTATTAAAATAGTATTAAAATAGTATAAAATAGTATTAAAATGAATAGCATTTGCAGACTCATACGCCAGCCATATCAATATAATTATCATAAAAGGAGCTTATGCTAAATGTTTATTGGCTAGTTTATGCTATCTGATGTTTGACTAAATTATTTTAATACTTACGTTTCAAAAACATGAACATCTGTCAATATTCTGAAAGTACCTAGTTTATCTACAAGTCATTTAGTATGCAGGTTTTTCTTTTTTTTTTAAATAAAGTTTTATTTGGGTTTTCACACATACAAAATACAAGTAAACGTTTTTTTTGAAAATAGCATGGTCCCAGGTTGAACTTCTTTATACAAACAAAAAATCAATTTCATGCTCATTTTTGTGTTCTATTCCATATCTTATACTATTGTACATTTTCTATATAGTTTTTCCCCTCTTTTAATTTTCTCAATTTTATTTTGATTATCTCATCTCAATTCAAATCATTATATTTATACTTTTGTCTGTTCTGTTTCAATTTCATATTATCTTTTCTCATTAAACAAGTTTTCTCCTGTAGTTACTAATTGGAGTATGACACCTTTATATCTTTTAATTATATCCATTCAACTCTTATTTAAACTTCAATATATACCTTAAGGTTATGACCTTCAATATAATACATAATACATAACTTCCAATCGAATTCTGCTTGGTACATTTTTATAATACACACTATATTCTTTTTTAAAAAAAGGATTATAAATATATGTAATTATAAACCCTCATTCCATTCCAATTCAGTTCTATCATTAATAATCATTAAAATCTTAACATCTTTAACATTTCTTTTCAATTAAATATACTTCCTTAAAGACACATATGATCTCCATAATTAATTGTTCCCTTATTTCTCTTCACATATGTTTTGTAAATCATAAAATATTCATTTTGTTACATTTATTTATTGACAAGCATTCCACTGAGTTACGATAACTATTTTATCAAAAATTTTAATCATACATTGTTTCATATTTTCTGAAATTTCTATTTTTAATATAACAATACTATCTTATGTACCTTTGCAGAATCCCTTTTTCCATTAAATCTTCACCTATTATCTCTAAATAGGCCCTGTTTCTCTATCTTTTGTTTCTGTCCTTTATAACTTCTTTTCCTTTCTTTCTTCCCTCTCATCTTCTTCCTCCCCTTTCCCCACCCCTTGTCTCTCTACTTCTGATTCTCTTTTCTGCATTTCCCTCTTCTGTTGCTTTCTGATTTTATACTTATTTTTCACTCTATTCTTTTTTTGGGTTGTTTTTCCCAGTCTTAAACTTTCCATTCTCTTTCCCCCCTTTCCTTGCTTTCCCCCACCTAAGATTACTTGTTCACTAAAGATGGCTTCTTCTTTGTCACAATCTTCTTGTTCTGCAGGCATTTCTTGTTGTTTCTCATAGTTCCAAATCTCCATTTCTAAGAACTGAAATATGAAGCCAAAAGAACCTCTCCCTTCTTGTGCATCTTCTTTGTACTTTTTAAGTTCCATTTTCAGTTCTTCTAAAAGTGGAGCCATTTTAAACAGTTTTAAACAACCACCCGATTGATTTTAGTCATTCAAATGCAATAACCAAGAATCCAGAGATCACCAAATAATCAAAATAGTCCCAAGCTGTTTCTTATTTCTTTTTCCATTTTCTCTTCCTGGGGTTTTACTATTTTTTTACAATGTTTCAGTTAAGATGTATCTTTTGGAAGTCTTGTGGAGATTTTGCTGTAAGTTCTTTTTAATTCCAGGCAGTCTCCTCCCTTCCAGATCCTGCCCTTTTATTCTTTTTCTCTCCTTTCCTGTTTTCAAAAGCTTTTAATTATCCAGAAATCTTTATTATCCCTTTTACTTTTCATTTTCAGCATTAAATGCCTATTAATGTCAAAGTGGATTTTTTTCCAATTTCTTGCTTAAGTCTCTTAGCTGTTAGAATAGGAAGAGGAGAAAAAAACCCCAAATCTTTTCCCTTTTCTCTCTCCTTCGCAGCTTAGAAATCTTCTTAGGGAACAATGTTATTGTTTTTTTTTAATAGTTTCAATTCCAGGGTACCTTATTTGTTGCTTTTGCTGTTTGACCCGGTCAACCAAAACTTTCTCTTCTTATCTTCCTTCTGCACATTCTTTTCCGGTCGAGTTCTTCTTTGTGGTGGCCATTTCTGACCACCGCTACAACCGCCTTCGAGAAAGGGAGTAATGGCCAGCTGGGGAGGAGAGATGCGGCTCTCCTCAACCCTGCAGGCAGTCTCCCCCTTCTTCACCACCTCTACGGCCCCAAAACCAGCCAGCTCAGGGCGCTCCAGCGGCGAGCACAGATCGAAACCGCGCAGAGACACGGTTTCGGTCTGTCGCTGAAGAAACTCAAACCGGAAGCCCCAGTATGCAGGTTTTTCTGAAGATTTTAAAATGTTTACAACCTAATACTTAGTTTCTGGGATAGCATAGTTAGTATAGTATTAAAATACAGAATTTTCTGTTCCAGGAATATGTAAAATGACACCAAAGGTAATCCTTTATAAATTTTGGCTTTTGTTACTATTGAATACATTAAGGATACAAAATTACTTGATTGTATGGATGGTACAACAGTTCCGCACTGAGCAATATCATACCTCTTTTAACAAGTGTACCATATAGTAAACAATATTGTGTACTTTTTTTCCTCCAAGGAATTTTCATAGTGTTTTTATATGTGAACAAATTGCGAAGAGTCCTTTTTTCATGCTGGAGAAGAATCGAGAGCCTGAAATATTGTAATTTTAGAAACTGTCTTTAAAGAAGAATCATAATGCTTTCATAACATTTGTTAGAGTTTGCAGCATAAATTCAAGTCCAGAAAACACACAGATGACTGATTCAGCAGGATCATTAACTCCTTTATAAACATAATAAAATGAGTAAAGTTTAAAATACCATTTGTAGATATTTTCAACGTAACATAAGCAAAAACACAAGCAGCAGCAGCTCAGAGCCAGGTATAAGTTTCAGCAAGAATTGAAACAAAAACTAAGTAAGTTAGTTTTTAGTTTCAATTCTTAGCAAAGTACACAGAGCCAAACCATACCCAGTCTGTCAGCTCTCATTGGCTGGTCTGTTGCCCTGCTTACTCACTTGCTGACTTTGTTAACCATGTGTTTGCCAGTTAATGAATATACTCTGACAACATTTGCTTCTATTCTCATACAGGATATATTGGGCTGTGACGTTTCACATATAGAAAAGAAAGATGCGACTGGTGACTGTAGTGGTGACTATTCAGTTCCTAAAGATGAACTGTTTGGAGATGTGCTATGGGATGCACATGCTGAACAAGAACAAATAGAAGCTTTCCAGCAGGCATCTAATTCAACATATGAGCTCGGATTTGACAAAGTAATTTCATATCCTCTCCTGGAACAAAATGCATAAAATGCTTGTGGGTTTTTTTCTTTTTCATTGATGAAAATATAGGGGAAAAAAACAGATTTGAGAATAATTTTGGAGGCTTTCTTGGCTTACTTGAGAACTTTTCAGCCAACCCCCCTCCCAGAGCACCCACATCCCTTCACTAACCTGCTTTCCAGCTCTATTTTCTGCCACCACATGCAGGTCAATAAAAGTAGGCTGTGGGACTATGTAAAAAAAACAGTTCAGATCTTCCAACTTCTCACGAAAAAAAAAATCTCATGAAGTTGGAAAGTCTGAACTATTCTTTTCACCATAGTCCCACAGACTATTTTTGTTGCCCTGCATACAGTGGCGGCGAACTGGGTCTGTGCGCATGTGTGTCTGCCACCTCCTGTGATGGCATGGGCTGGGGCAACAGGCCCTGTCTCCTTACAGTTTCCAGGATGGCTGCATGGGCCAGACCTGACCTCATTGTGGGCTGGATCCAGCCCCAGACCTTGAGTTTCACACTCTGATCTATGATAACAGATACACATTTCCTACTTAGTTCCAATAAATTTACTTTTATCATGACCTGATGAAGAGAAAGAATTTATCCAGGATTATGAATACAAATGAATTTTGTATTTCAAGGACAAAATATAAGCTTTTGTTATTTTGTATGTGATAGGCAGAAAAACGCCATATATATCTAAGCAAGGGCAAGAACATTTTTGTAAGCAATCAGACAAAGACAAAATCATACTTAAGAAATGAAAAAAATCAAATACAGAATTCTTCAAACATCTACAGGGCAAAGCCATTCTTATGAACCACCTATAGAAGGCCATCACTGTGCTTGCATAATTGTGACACTGAGCAGAAAGAACAAACTATTACACTGTTGCAGTATTGTGTGAAAATACTACATCAAAAGCAAGAACTCACATAGCCTATAGCTATTATCCAGAGGTATCCCAACCTTGGCAACTTTAAGTCTTGTGGACTTCAACTCTGGGAGTTCAATTCTGGGAGTTGAAGTCCAAAAGTCTTAAAGTTGCCAAGTTTGTGGACCCCTACTATAACCTATGAACGTGTTCTAAATATTAATTACCTGATTGGATACCAATGGCCTATTTTTATAGAACCCTCACATTTTTATAAGAACAAAAGTAACCTTCGAATTAGGTAGGCTGGGTATACTCTTGCTCTGCATAACTATTTTTTCCCTAATATACCTGGCAGGGAAAAAAGATGGTTAAAGTGTCAAAAAAGAATAAGAGAATTGCAACTTCTTTTTGTAAAATTCAGTGAATTAAGACCAAGATATTGTAAAATAAAAGTCTTGTCTCAAAATACTGTAATTGATTTGGTAACCCACACACACTAAATTGTTCAGATTTTCATGCTGTTTCATGCTGTTAAAACCAGTGAGGATTGTAATTGATCAAATATGAATCAGGACTATGTTCAATAATGGTTATGGTCAGTAAATTATGTTTTAGCTTTTTTATTTCATTTGTCACATTTAGGAATTGCCCATATCTTCACAGAGGGAATCTGGGTAGTATACAAAATGTAATTAAAAGACAATAAAAAACAGAAAATATGAATGTAAAAATGTAAAGAAGAGACAAAGATAGTTAAATTTTGACATTAAAAATTAATTAAAAGGTGGGAGGTTCTAACAAGCCTCACAGCTGCTTGTTCTTCTCTATGCTCCAAGCAAGAATGCAGGTATTTTTGAAAAGCTAAGCAGCTTCGGCTGTTAGGGGGAGAATGTTTCAAAGGGCAGGGGAAACACCAGAGAAATTTCTTCTTAGCTCCTTCCAATCATAATTCTTTAATTAACAAGGTCTGGAATATACCTGTATGTGCAAACTAAGCCAGTGCCAATCTTCTATATATATAAAAGCGAAATACCACTCATGCATCATCACAAAATCTCCAGAACTGTAAAGTGTAAAAACTTGAAATTTGGCATGTACGTTCCTATTGGCTTCTAGGTGCTCACTAAGAAAAGATTTTTCGAAATGACCATCAGAGCATTAGTATTTCGTATATTATTATTAATATGCTCTGATGCTAAGGAGTTCTATTCCCCCTCCCCACCTGAAAAGAAATCTGTTCCAAATGCAAAACAAGCAGAGGAGAGGAGTTTCAGTTTTTGTTTAAGGCACCAACCAACTTTAGTACAAATAGTTGACCTAAACTACGCCAGGCTCCTTGCTGTCTCTTTGCTCACACAACAAATACTTTCCAAACACTCTGACAGGTTGCTAGCCAGATGAATACCTATGGATGCTGGTAGGCAGAGGCAGAATTTCTCCCCCCCCCCTTATTTTCCTCCCAAAAACTAAGCACAACCCCATAGTTTCGTAGCAAAGTACGGGTATCGAGCTAGTATTATATGCATATAAATTAATATGGAAAAGACTAATCTTTGCATTAACACAGCTTTAAAATCAAGTAAATGTAAATGATTGGATCTAATTCAACAATTATTTATTATATTGTATTGTTTCATTTGCAGTATTATGAAAGTCTAAACGATTTGGTGGCAGCCCCTGCACCAATTCCACCCCTCCTTGTATCTGGAGAGCCAGGATCTGGAAAATCTCTCCTTTTATCAAAATGGTATTATACATACATTTTTTAAAAATCTGTATTTCTAGAAAATGTTCATTTTAAAAAAGTATTTTCCTCCCTCAACAAATACCAAGCTGTACATGTATGTTCAGATATGCATTCGTGTGCATTCCAGATTTCCTTTAAATCCTACTTTACTAGTCTCTTTATAATACAGATATAACATACTAGCTCAGTTAACTTAGTATTGTCATTACACCTATAATATTTATGTTACATGCAATGTGCTCTGTTATAAGTTTTTGTCTGCCCTCCCCCCTCCATTTGTTCCACAGAGTTCTTTTGCAGAGAGTTAGCCAGGTTCTGTATTTTACACATTTATTACTTTATCACAGACTCTTCTCAATCTAGGTTTTCAAGATCCTCCAACCAGCTATCCTTGTGACCATTCCTGACATTTTACTTTGGTGGGAATGTTGTTCAGCAGGGAAAGGAACAAAAAAATGTTCACCTGTGCAATAACATCAAAACTAATTTAGTTGCATTTCTTTAATACCCCACTGTAATCTGTATAAGGTATACCTATAAAGATATTTAAAATTTAAAATGTGTATATATATGTGTGTGTGTGTGTGTGTGTGTGTGTGTGTGTGTATATGTGTGTGTGTGTATATATATATATATGTGTGTGTGTATATATATATATGTGTGTGTGTGTGTGTTATATATATATGTGTGTGTGTGTATATATATATATGTGTGTGTGTGTATGTGTGTGTGTGTGTATGTATGTATATATATATATGTGTGTGTGTGTGTTTTCTTAAGTTTTCGCGGGTACTTACATGTATGGCATTCGGCTTTGTTCGGGTATTTTCCCATGTCATTGTAGTTGTTCTTTTAAAGTTGTAGCAAAGTTTCAGCAGAATCTCATCTGCCATCATCAGGCTTCTGTATAGTGTTCGTCTGTGAGTCAGACTTTTACAGTGGTTTCAGATTTAAATTTGGGGCAGCCTATTGCTGTGCCAGAATGGTTTTTTCT